ACACAGTTAAAAATCCCAACTGGCAGGAGGCAGACCAGTTGGCTATTTACAAAGCGTGACCGAGGATTTGAACTCGGGACTACCGAGAAACAAATCCCCCTAGTGGCACTGTGGAGGCCTTGAACCCGGGACCTCCGAATTACAACACCAGCGCCCTAAACACTCGGCCACGCTGCCTCCAGTGATTGGTATGTTAAAACAGAGAACACCATCTGCGGAATATAAAGAAAAAAAAATAAAAGAATCACTGAGAATTACAGCTTGATTTTCTGATCCAATTGACTATATTTGGAAAGAGATTAACCATTCCGTCTGCGTTTCCTTTTTTTTTTTTCCGTAATTTTCCTGTAATTCAATACTGCTCCTTTCCGAATATGACGAATCCAACAAAGGTATCGACACTTGTACAAGATAACGTTTTTTGGGTTGACAGTTGGAACAATAACACTTTTCACACCAAAACTTGTTCAGTCTTTCAGCAGGGTTAGCTGTGTGCAGATCGGGTGGAGGTTGGGTTCCGTTGCGACCTCACTTTGTTTTGCACTTAATTAAAGTGCCATTATGATGATATTCTCGATATCCATTTTTTCACATTTCCGGACACAATCGGTCTTTCCTAGATATCTTGCCAAATTTTAATCTATTACGAGCGTTAGAACTGGCGGTTTTGGACCTTTATTTCCGATGATTTATGGCCGCCATTAATTTTCCTTGTTCCAAGTCTTAGTTGAGAATTTGAGAAAATGATGTCATTTTTCTCAAAAATACCTCTAGGGTTGAAATTATAATAACAATTTATGTGAAAAATTGCACGAATATATAAGCCAAAGTTTTTGTTATTCTTTATGTGAATTGCTGTACTAATTGCTGTACTATAATTTCAGCCCGTGTGGTATTTTTGAGAAAATTACGTCATTTTCTGCAATTCTCAACCAGGACTTGGAACAACAAAAATTGATGGCGACCGTAAATTCTCGGAAATAAAGGTCCAAAAAACACGAGTTCTAATGTTCTTAATGGATTGAAATTTGCCAAGATATCTAGGTAAGACCTATTGTGTACGAAAATGAAAAAAAAAAAAAAATAAATAAATAAAAAATAATGGGTATCGAGAATTTGATCATAGTGGCACTTAAATCTGAGCCAGGAAAACATATTAATTTTGACCATCCTAATCATCTCCACAAAAGCATTGGAGTGCGCATGCCCCTGCACCAGCGTACCACAGCAAATCAACGCGTCAAACTCTCCTGTTTCAATCTCGGGAATCCGCTGNTCTCCACAAAAGCATTGGAGTGCGCATGTCCCTGCACCAGCGTACCACAGCAAATCAACGCGTCAAACTCTCCTGTTTCAATCTCGGGAATCCGCTGGTCATTCAAAGTGGCGCAGATGACCTTCTTATACAAATTTTTCTTCTTTGCTTCATCTAACATTTCTTTTGAGATATCTAGAGCATGCAGGTTAGTGTAGCCGAGTTTACTAAGTTCGACTCTAACATTCCCTGTGCCTGCTCCAGCATCTCTTATTTGATTTCATCTTTTGGATTGTCTCTAAGAACCTGTTTGTAATCCAAATATTCCGCCATTTTCTTATCTTCCTAGCTTACAGAAGTCAGATGGTTCCGTTTTCTCCTCTCGTTTGGTTTTTTCCAAGTTAAAATAATTCTTAGAAGACATACTCCAACACACGTGTGACACCGTACACGGTCGTGCAGTTGTTGTCTTGTATTTTGATCCCTTCAGATGTTGCTTGATTAATTAAGGGAGCGAGGGCGGAGGTGACAATGACAAGGTGATGACATGGGGGAGGAGACTAAAAGCGTTTTTTTTTTTTTCAGAGAAGTACACAGACGTTTAAGGTTGTTTAATTTTGTTGCACCCGCTTCGCGGCAACTCTCGCGCTACGCCCTCGCATCGTTTGTGCGCTTAAAGAAATATAACTCGTAACAAGTAAGAAAAGACTGTGAACAGACTCGTGGCTTCATGGTAGATTAAAAACAGTAGTAACACGTGACTTGCAGTCTGCGCCAAAATTCGTACCATGTTCCACAGAAATACAGGTAGAATTTCGTACCACCCCACTTAATTTCACTTTGAGCTGAGATCATAGCAGCTTTCTATTACACCTAGTTCGACACAGTTTTCAATTAGCGTAATCAGCGAAGGCCTGTACTCATGCTGTCACTTTGCTTCTCTTCTACCATGGCTTCTTTGCGCGGGAAAAGGCGCTTGCAACACCTACATCGTCTCACATGTTTAAACCGGAGTGACTTTGTTATGTCTTAAAGCTGCGCGTCTAAATGGTCTGCACAAGGTTTTGAGTTCCCTTCGAATGTCTCTTTTGAACAAAGCATAAGCTATCGGGTTGGCGGCCGAATTAACCAGTACCAGCAAAACAATGACATTAACAACTTCCAGCGCTGGAATCGAGGAGTTGAAAAGGAAACGAATAACGCTGTACAGCTCTACACAGTAGCAAGCAAGGAAAACGATCACTACTGTTATGATGACTCTAGCAGATGAAAAATCTCTTGGTTGTCGGTGACTGACTTGATTAAATCGCAGCTGAGCATGGAGACGAGCAGTTTGCCAGCGATGCCTTCTGGCAGTTATGATTATTTGAATCGTAGCTATCAGCAGGAACAAACAAGGAAGGATCTCCAATAAAAACATTTTGCTAAAGATGAGAGTTCTGTTTTGCATTTTGCATTTTCCTAACCTCGCGCATATTGTTGGAATAAAGTCGAGAGCAATGGGAATACTCCAAGATAACGCCATGAGGGAAGCTGCTCGACGCGAAGTCATCCACGTAACATACCTCAGAGGCTTGATAATGGCGATATAGCGATCAACTGTCATAGCACACAAGTTAGTAACAGAAGAGTATATCGCCAGCACGGCTATGTCATAGCCCCAGTTACTTTCGCAAAGGACAAGTTTTCTACAAAGGAAGATTGTCGGAAAACAGGTAACACCGACAGCGAAATCAGCCACTGCGAGCGACAGGACAAACCAGTTTGGCAGGATGTGTAATCGTGTCCTGGATAAGATAACAAGCACGACCATAGTATTTCCAAGGATTGCTAAAACGCTGGGGAGCCAGCCAAGGATGTAAAACCATGAAGTCGCCATAAAGAACTTTCTCAGCAATGATGCTTTCAAGAGAGATTATAATTTCCGAGCAGCTCAGCTAATACTCTTCTCTTCCGCTTAATTTCAGGGATCCTTTTCAGACGCAATCGTACTGTAGAGAATGAACTTGTTGACGGCGACTTTGCTCTTAGCTTCAAGGATTGTGAAATTTCAATTACAGCAAGACATCTGCCCTGATTCAACAATGGAGACAGATCTTTAATAACATAGTTTGTATGTCATAAGTGCAATTAGACGTGCCGGTAAAATCTCTTCAATTACAAAACAAAACAAAGCGTTTGACAGTGTACTTTCTGTTTGTACTGCGAAAGAGATCTCTTCCTGCAGCTAAAAAAAAAGATTCAATTCGATTCGATAACATTGATTGTGGTCACGGCTCTAAAGCATGCATGTCAAAAGAGGTTAAGGTTTGTGCTATGACGCTCAAAAAAACAAAAGAAATTATTATTAAAGCATTTCAAATTGTATGTACTTTGCTGAAGTTAATATTCCCCTGTTAAATCAAATTTAATTTTGTGAGGAGTCCAGCAGTAATTTTAAACGTTCAGTTTTAAATTAATCAATTTTCATAAACTCAAAGACGTGCTGAGTGCGCTATGTTGTTGAAGGGAATGACTTTCGAGTTGAATTTATACAAAGTTGGATTCTGTTAAAATTGACAGCTAGTCAGTTACAACAAATATTTGGCTTTTCGGGTGTGTGCGATTGGTAAACGATGTAAGACATGACAGGCTTGATAACAATGATGAAACTGAACCTGGCCAGAGATGTAAGCCTCTGTTTACCGCAGCCTTCGACGTCAGTTTTTGAGAGCTGTATTAGTACTCAAAAGCTGTTGAACCAGCGAAACCAAATATCCAAACGCACCTACGAAATATTTCTAATTGGAAATAAAAAGCTCCAGTATTCCAGTACGTATATTGAAAAAAAAACAAACAAAAAAAAAAAAAGGTAGCTGAGAGTGCAGCACGGGTCAAGTATGATTTTTGGTTTTCTTTTTCCTCTTATCTTCCCTTTGTCTCCTCTCCTTACGTTTTCTTTGCTTTGCCTTGATTTGCAGTCTTTTCTTTTCCATTTTTTCACCTTTCCTAACAAATCTTGTGAGATCATATTAACTGCATGACAGTTTGATGGTAAATTAAACGCCCCCTTTATTATTTACTGACTTGGTACAATATTTTTCCAAAATTGTCCTACTCATATCTCTGGACAGGAGCCCATCACTCTGGAGTGGTGACTTAATTGTCGAGCTTTCCTTGTTATAGGTCGAAGTCTCCACGATGATGCATGACTAAAATTTTAAAATACATATTATTCTCTCACTATGTCTGTTTCACATTTACTTGCACGTGTGTTAAATTATAGTTATTTATTTCAACCTCAATTTCAATGAAACGCTTGATCAACGTTCCAGCTATGCTAGTGTGCTTTTATTTTCGTTAATGTGAATTAATTTCACGGAAACCGATATGGAATCGACGCTTTTGTTTCGTTCATCTACGGTATGTCCGCCTCTGGTTATTTCATCAGAATTTTATAAACAAACGCTGAAGTTTCACTTGGCAGCTCATCTCTGTCGAAGTAAGGCACCATCTTTTTGCAGGCATTTTCCCATATGCCTACATTCTCCAATTCTAGAATCTTTCCTTTGAAGTCATCTGCTCTACTGTCGCGAATATTAAAACAAAGAAGACCACCTACAAAAGAAAAAAAAAAAAAAGAAATAAATAACGAATATTTTAAATTAATTTATATTTTTCTTTACATTACGTGCTCGAGTCTTTAAACTCTTTACCCTATTCAGATCTGGCTTTTTTTTTTTTTAGATCCGCTGGGTTGCCACCGCTCTCGAGCTCTCGCGTGCTGTCAGTCCCGAGGGTGCTCGCGGGCTCCTTTCCCGAACAGAGGTTGGTTGACCAGCGTATGCCATGATTGCGCCAATACGTCGCACCTCACGCTAGTTCAACGACAAATATGTAACCCAAGTTACCCTCTCCCAAGGATATTAGGGTAACGAACAAAAAAAGGTATATTTTATTTTTCGCTATGCTGAATTAAAAAGACATTTTTGGACGCAAGTCACCACTCGGTTTCAATGGATGATTGATTTCCGGCTCATGGTACTAAGTGAGGCTGCATATAGTAAATATAAGTGTCGACTGGAAAACACTCTCATTATGCCGAGAGCAGACTTACATGTTTTAACAATCCTAACCATCTCAGTTAACGCAGACGAGTGAATATGTCCCTTGAACATCGCACCACCACAAATCAGAGCATCAAACTCTCCTGTTTGAATCTCGGGAATTTCCTGATCGGTCAGAGCGGCGCAGATGAACTTCTTGTACACGTTTTTCTTTTTGGCTTCATTCAACATTCCGTCTGAGATATCGAGAGCGCACAGGGCGGTGTAGCCGAGTCTTTGAAGCTCGACTGCCATCAACCCCGTTCCGGATGCAACATCAATGATTTTGATTTCATCTTTCGGTTTCTGCGGAAGAACCTGATTGATTGCTTCATTCAGACATTCAGGTAGTGGCTTGTGGTAAACACTGCTAGCGTCCTGAACGACCTCCTAAATAAAATCAGCTCTATCTTACATCCACGAACAATTACAACACTGCAAATGTGCAGTTCGTATGCCAGGTTCATGTATACTAGAATCAAGGTTTTATATTATCTGCTCCAAGAAACGCACAATAATTCGGTAAAGAGCCAGCATCTAGGAATGGGTAATACACATCGTCTGACGAGCAATACATACATGGTGTAGAGGACACGAGCAAAGACAAGTTTTATTTGCAAGCGGTAAACAGTATTTTTAGTAACACTAGAAAATAAAATTCATATCTTCAAGCCACCTCGCAGTTTTCTTTTCTTTTTTTTTTTTATTATATAGAGTGTAGTCTATCGCTTGCCATTTTCTCTGACATTTTGCACAAACAAGCGTGAAAAAATTGGAAATGATGTCATCAATATCTTCGCTAGTCAGGACCTCGGGTCCCAGATGTAGTTTCATTTGAATTTTACAAATGATGTATTTTCCAGTTAAACAGAGTATCTATATAATAAAGTCACATCTTTAAGTTCAGTTTGATTATTTAACTCTCTTGCATAAAGTCATGCACATAGACAGTGAGATTAAACTATTCTGTTACCTTGTCATACACACTCGCCCAGTTGTCATAAGTATGTTTAATTTGTTCTTTTGTTGTTCCATGCGAAAAATGAGTTAATCGGTCGCCAAAGACCTGAGAAAAGCCTTCTTGGTATGGCATTCTAAAAATAAAAAAGAGAAGCCGAATAACACACTCTTTTTTCAAAAGAATACGTATTTTTCATGCCTGAGTTGGATATTATTTTTTTTGGCTTTAGACGCAACTTTTGGCAAAGTTTTATAGATCAAAAATCTGTCCATGAGGTTCAGAGCACTAGCCACATTAAAGTTTTGAAAATCTAAGGTGGCACTGAACCCTATTTACAGATTTCTTATCGTGCTAATCGAAATTAAATGATACATATATAAAAAAAATTCACCGTGTCGTTTTTGAGTTATAAACCCTTAAAGCTATAATAGTGTTTTTAGCAGATCATACTGTTGCTATGGTAACCCATTGTGTCACGAAAATGATAGCAAAATGTTCATCAATGACTGGACAGGACTTTGATAGCATGATCGTAGCATCAATTGATAAAGAGTGGTTGCAATGACCCAACAAAATATGTCTTGAGAAAAGTGCCGACACTGTTTAGAGCCAGCCACCTTAAGAGGGCTTTAAGTTAGTATGTGTATTTTGGGATGTTTAGGTACATGCACTTTTGGTCATTTTATTTTGTTTTGGTTTTAGCTCAAGCTCGTGCTAACTAACGTGATGAATTTGATTGCTTGAAATACAATATTAGTCTGTTGAACCAGGAAGTTCATGAAGTCAGATAAATTATTTACTGACCCATTAAACCTCCTCATAAAATAAGCTTGTTATTTTATGCTTGAAGAAAAGAAAGGGCAAAGGAATGCGGTACAAGGCTAAGAACCACTTCACAATGTATTCAAGCTGAACGTGTATGATCAGTAAGGAAAAAAAAAATTAAATAAAATATAGCTTGCGGTGAGCACAATTGTTTTCACATTCAGCAAATTCAGTGATTTATTCACAAAACGTAACCTTCCATGAAGACATCCAAGAATAATAAAAATATCGTTTCTTTCATGAACTTGTAGATCTCGTACCGCGAGCTCCAGCTTCTCAAACAAAATAAACAACTTCGACGATTACTCACCAATTGACCAAACCCGCATTCGAAAGTTTAAGTCTTGAGTTTTGACACTACGACGACCAGACCAGCTTATCAATGTCACTATATCTTTTACGCTTCCTTTGATCATATATCAGCGAATGCACATTTGTTATGTTTGTCGTAAATATTCCAAGTGCACAATGGCTTTAATGCACCACGGGAAAGAACTATGTGAACAATACTTGCAAAGTGCTGCGAGACTTTGAGAAATGGCGCCTTCGATTTCTCACTGTTCGTAAGACGCACCTGTCACCCTATATCAGTGTAGTAATTTCCTTCTTCATACGCGGGCAAAAGCGCTGAACGAAGATTGCATGAAAAATAGGACATTGCAATGCTTCACGACTTACTCAATAAGCTTTCTTGCCCTGCTATCGTCTACAGCAATTAGTGAAGCTGCTAACCTCGCGCCTGTTTCGTTCGGTTGAACGCACTCTCAACGTTTTAGCTACTCTTAAAAAACTACACAAGGGGTGCAAGCTGCTAAAGAGGAAAAGGTGGTTCACTTTGACCGGTCGGACATTTTTCGTTCCATTTTGACAACTGGTTTATTAATATTGCTCTACTTTTCCTCCGTAGATTTCACTTATGTAAGGAATTCGGAAAGGAATAACAAACGGCAAGGGTCATTCCTCTTAGTTGATCCGGTTTGATCGAAAAATGTCGTTCCATTTTCCCTCGTGTAACCCACTGGTCTCTGACCGGTCGGTCGGGCATAATGTAAAGCACCCACTGTTATCCACATGTGCTCTTTTCTGATCCCCTTGTAAACTGAAATTCAACGTGGCGTCCAGTCTCGATCCCACGCTATCTCTCCTTTGCCTCCCTTGTCGTTGAGGGAGACAACGGCGAGGGAGCCTGGGATCCAATTTGCCTGGGGTTTTACAACGTCAGTATTTACGTCAAAATCTCCACTATCCCTCTTCATCTCCTTCGACTGATCATTTTTCAACTTCGGAAGATCCTAGTGTGGTTACTAACAAGTGGGAAGTTCCTCATACAACAATGACAATAACCTTGATTCTGTAAAGAATTTAATTCTTCAATACTCTGAAAATTAGTCCGTTAGTCTCTTGAGGTAGATCTTCGTTGTCGGAAAATGGTATCACCTCCTTAGAAAAAGATTGCCATCTTCCTGCCTTCTCTAGCTCCAGCATCTTTTCTTCATATTCCGCCACATCAACATCGCGCATTGTAAAACACAAAAGACCTCCTGTAAAGTGAGATAAAAATTTCACGCGGAAACATACGTCAACATGCACGTTCCTAGACACCTATCTACGCAATTGACAAGTGACACGACTGCATTTTGAATTGGAAATTACCCAAATCATAGCAAAACAACAGATTTTGCATGTTATTGCTGTTTCTGTCTTTTCAACTCTTTTGTATGTTTTCTTGGTTCGTTTGGTTGTTGTTGTTGTTGTTGTTGTTTTTTGTTTTTTTAAAATAAACTGAAGATTTACTGTAAGGTATCGTGAAAAGTCTGAGTGAACGTCTTAAAAAAAAAAAGGCTTGAAGAAAAACAGGTTTAGTGACAAAAACAGTTTAGTGATTTACTTTACGTACAGCAAGGGCAACGTGCCATAAGTGGATGCTATGGGGAGTAGAATCTGCCAACGTAGGAGAGCTGTTCTTTTATATGAAGCCAGTGGGGACTCCCATGCAAAAATGTCGGGGGTGCTTGTCGGGGATACTTGGCTCGAGCTTCCGCTACCAGTAGTGTGCATCGGCTACTGAGACGTTATGCAGTATAACCATTGGCAGCGAAGCAGAACCACGGTTCGCATTCTGAGCGCACATTAAAGTTACAGGAATTTGTTAAAACAGAAAAGGTTACATGCACAGTGTACATTAGGATATAACACATAACTCAAATTAATCTTACCAGGCTTTACCATGCGTGTCATCTCTCCGAGAGCCTCAGGTTGAACATGCGCAATAACAAGTGCACCAGTACTGATCAAGGCATGATATTCTCCTGTTTGTATTTCGGGAATCCGCTTTTCAGTGAGTGGGGCGCAGATAAGCTTCTTGTAAATATCCTTCTTTTTTGCTTCGTTCAACATTTCTTGTGAAATATCAAGAGCATCAATATTCGTGTAGCCGAGTTCGAAAAGTTCCACACCAGCAAGTCCTGTTCCGGCACCTGCATCAATTATTTTGATCTGGCTTTGCGTTTTATCTTGAAAAACCTGTTTGAAAGCGGCATCTAAAGCTTTGGCCATCGGCTCGTGATAAGCTATCTTGGCGGCTCCCTTGACTTCCTAATTAAAGACGAAAAATTGAGACCCATCCGTAACCAAAACATCGTGCAGTTGGCTTGAATACGATAAAGTACAGCCTTTAACGCAGACGTTTGTTTGTTTGTTTGTTGTTTTTTTTGGGGGGGGAGGGGGTGGGGTCGTCGCCAGTTTCCGGGAGGAGTGGGTGACAACCCAATTGAAAGTCCGTGTAGGAGGGTAAGCAATGACTGAGAAAACGCAAATCCACAATGACTAACTGAGACTCCCGGATTGAAGTAAAGTTAGAAGAAAGTCATATTGTATTGCTGGTTTTCAGTGTCACGCAGTTCAAAACAGATCAAAATAACTGACATCAAAACCGGTCAAAAGATGAAGTCCAGAATCTGGGAAATGAAAGAAAGTAAATATGCAAAGACTCTCGCCAAAATTCTGGTCACACCAATTTTTCTTGTGCGAAATATGCGGAGAAATTTTTTTCCCGAATTTATAGAGATTTGTATGGAGATGCCATGCTGGTGCCCATCCGTATGGGCACCAACATGGCGGCCGGAAACCAACAGAAACATCTGTCACTG